AAAGTTGTACTACAAAGTCGCCAGTTCTCATCTTCCAGCTCCCCAGAGACTCCGCGTGCTCAAGTTGTACTACAAAGTCGCCAGTTCTCAGCTTCCAGGTCCACAGATTGCTCCGCGTACTGAAGTAGCACTAGAAAGTCGCCAGTGCCTGCATTTCGCGCACTCGACACGCACGATCTCCGCAGAGGGTTGCGCGCACACCGGACAAATCGCACTCTCGCCTGCATTTCGCGCACTCGGCATGCACGATCTCCAGCCGCGCAGAGCGCAAGCAGAAACGTTCGCCACACCTTGAACCTGTCCTTGTGATTGTGTGAAGAGGAAACATGGTCAAATCGACCTCGTACCCTTCGACCTCTCTTTTCTGCCAACTCCTGAGAAATCGAAGCCTGGCTCCAATAGAAACCAAATGCAGACCAGGTTCCCATAGAATCCCATGAAATAGGCCCATGGAAGAGTCCTGCCGACCAATCAGACCCCCTCAAACCAGGGTCTGATCCGTAGAGGTTCCTGGAAAACCGGTCGAATGCATCTCTCTATCATTTGGGAAAGCCTTCTTAGAGGTTTGAAGACGGTCATTTTTGGTTTACAAACCCCTTTTTACAAATCAGCTACTGCAACTAGTTGACACCAGAAATCAAAACAGACCCCCTCAACCATGTTGTTTGGTCAGACTGCGGACTGCGCTCCTGTTGCCATCTCTGAGCAGTCGCTGAGAGCTCAGCTGGACAACCAACAGTTCCATCGTCCAGCGTGCGGCGATGCAGAAGTCCTTCCGCTTCAAAAAGTCCTGGGAGGGCACATAAATACATGCATGCACCATAGATAGTATACATACATAAATGACATACACAAATGACATACACACACTACTTACATGCGTACGAAACCACAACGTATATCAAACTAAGCCATACCTTACATACATACATACATACATACATGCATGCATGCATGCATATTTGCCACTACATTACAATACATTACACTACATTACGTTACATGAACATTACTTTGTGCTGTACTACACTGCATTGTATTATAGTATATTATACTATATTACATACACTACATACATACATACATACATACATACATACATACCTACATACATACATGCACGTTCAGATACATATACATACACATACACTCACACATACACATACATTACATAGTGTTACAACTTATTTTCTTGAATTACATTACATTACGTTAACGTTACGCTACGTTACATTACATTACATTACATTACATACATAGCCTTACATGACATATATTACATTACATTGCACTGCACTACACTACATTACATTACATAACTTACGCACATAAATACATGCATATGCATATATATATATATATAGCTAGGCCCTTTCCTAACAAAATATGGATCAAACGGGCTCTGCGTAAAGACAGAGAGGCCGACTATAGAACTATCCATTTTGGCAGCTTTTCCTGTTCGTGAAGTAAAACACATAGAAATAGACAATGTAGCGCCCTGAAAATGTTAAATTACAGTACGTTAAATTTGCGGACCCCTCATCTAACCAACATCGAGTCCACATCCCAAAACACACTTGTTCAGAGTTGTGGCAAGAGTCTCGGAGCGTGTGGCGACATTCGTCAAACATCCTGACAGGCGCTGCTGAACTGCTGAGCCGTGGACAACAGGGTGCCGGTGGTGCTCCGACCTAGCTGTGGTACAAATATCTTGCGCTGTCTGGGGTCTACGCTGACCTCATTTTAAACTTCCAGAGCGAAACGCATAGCATCATGTAAAAATCTTGAAAAAATATACACATATATATATATATATATATGTGTGTGTGTGTACGTGTGTGTATATGTATAAAATATATATATATATGTATATACATAAATCATGATGAATATCGTTTGTCATACTGTTCAACGGTCTCCTAAGCACAAAGAATTAAACTCTCCACGGGTAGCTAGTAGGCTCTCACTTCACATGAGAATGAGCTAGCTGCGCGTGCTTTCGAGACGGCGTGTTGGCGCTGGTGCTGGTGCTCAGCCCTCACGCCGGCACTGTGAGCTGGCTGCGCGCTTTCGAGTCAGGGTGTCGGCGCTGGCGCTGGCGCCAGTGCTGCGCTGGCTGCGCGCAAGTTCAAAACAGGGTGTGGCGCTGGTGGTAGGGGCACTAAGAAGACAAGAGGAACACAGGCTTTTGCTAGAGTGGCCAACGGACAGGAGAAGGACAAGAGGAGCACACAGCGTTGGCCAGCGCGGGACAAGAGACACCTGAGACACCGTGTTCAGGGGCGTGGCCCTGGGTAACAGACGGCCAGAGGAGGACAAACCCCGAAGTGGCTCTGGCGGCGGAGGCACTTTGTGGCCAACCATGCCACCGGCGGCGAACACGTGGCCCCGCGACGAGCTTTGGCACGGATTGCAAAGCTTGATGGCCAGTTGCTTGCAAAGGTTAGCTGCAGTTCACCGAGTCACTGAACTTAAGACATACAGTAAATGAAAGGGCCCCAATTTACCCGATTCAGCCAACTATACAAGTGGTCTTTCTGGTCTTTCTCGTTTGCTCTAAATGTGGAACTGCGACACCTCGCGCCACCTGCTTGGGGATGGGTCGTGACCCACCATGTTCGCCGGACCAGTTTATGTCGCGGCAACACCGGCTGGCCGCGCCCCTGAACTCTGTGTCCGGCTCTTGTCCATCTCTTCTCCTCCTCTGGCCGCGCCCATGGACACTGTGTCCGGCTTGTCCTTCTCTTGTCCTCCTCTTGTTCTCCTCTTGTCCTTCTCTTGTCCTCCTTTGTCCAAACTTGAAAATTCGCAGAGCCAAAAGCTCAACTATTCTTTGAGGCCTTGTGTACCAGAACACGGGCACGATCTATGATCTATCGCAAAAGCATTCTGTTGAGACAAAGAGCTTGCAGGCAGCCCTGAGGAAGGCACCAGAACAGGTACGGGTTGGCCGTACTGAGCGTGCGCACAACGAATAGAAAACAAATTGCAGGGCTTCAACATAGACACAGTCGCTTTGCCCTCCTTCAGGTTCTGCCGGCGGAGTGGCGTCAGAGACAACGATTGGTCACATTGCGGCTTGCGATTCGAAGCCCGAAATTCTCTTTGTATCGCCTCAGTTATCAAGCTCGGCATGCGCGGGCAATTCCAATAGAATGTTCAAGCCCATGCCCATAGATGCGCAGAGGTTCCGGGCTAACAGCATTTCAGGCGCAATGAAGGTAAAGGTACCAGCAGTCCTTGCAATGCTGCAGTTCAATCACCACCGAACCAGGCTGAATGGAGCCGGGCCCATGGCAAGACTATGCAATGCGTACGAGGGTTCAATTGCGTCAAACAGTTTTCGAAAGGTGAGGGTCGTTGCGATGACGCTGTTGGTGTTTTCGAAAGGTGAGGGTCGTAACCCCCAACTTTTGGAGGGCCACCTCTTTGGACAGTCACTACTAACCCAAAGTCACTCAGCTTGCAGCCGCAAGGATTCTGGAACACCGAGAAAGTGTTCAAATTCCTTAGCCATGCTGAATGCTGAGCATGGCTAAACCCAAGAACACGAACATGGCAAGATTCTGGCCTTTATCAAGGTCCCATCTTCCCTCGAGTTCGCTTGGACCTAATGCTTCTGAGCATCCCGGTAGAGGAGAGTGTACTTGCTGCCCTCATAGGCAATGGCAGGGGCACCTTTCAAGAGGCCGCATCAATTGTCGAGTTCCCTGGTTCCCTTCACCAGAAAATCTCCACGAACAATGTGAAGCACAGCCTTGCAAAGTCAGGGCGTGTTCTTTTGTTCCTTTTTTGAGGTAGTCCAAAAATAGGAACAGTTCCTCTTCATGCCATGTATTTCGACACCAGAACTCCCCACATGTAGCTCAGTGTAGCTTTGGCGGAAATCATGGAAAAAGAACGACTTGCGAAACGGGCGAAACTGAAACAGAATCTCCGATCCTTTGAACTGTCCTGTTGGGAGGCGGCTTTGTTGATGTCCTGTCCACTTTCAGGTGCCAACCGCCCACCGCGCCTCCGCTATACACCAAACGACCCACCAGGCGCTTGAGCTCTTCGACTGCCTCAGCTTGAAGCCTGGAGCGTTTCCCGACAAGGACGAATGGCAGCGCGGCAGCTCGTCGGCTCGTCGGCTCGTCGGCGTCCGCCCACTGCAGTGCTGCAGTGGTGCCGTTGTCGCATGCCGCGACGGCTGCGGGTCGCCGCACGCCCCGCACGGGGTGCCAAAGGTGGGTGCCGAACAGAACCCTCCCTCCGGTCACCAAGTTCCGATCACCCGCCCCTGAACAATCGTGTGACCAGTCTGCTCGGGCCAGATGGCCAGGGCCAGGGGAAGACACGACTGAGAAGACGCGAAGCGACTGAGCCCGTGGACGGGGTCCGACTCAGTGGGGCAGCGAACGTCGACTCACCCAACCGCGAAATAGCAGGGGGGTGCTGGTCTTCTCGACCGTCTCACAACTCTGGTAAAAACTAGGAGAACCAACTGCCCCATCAACATCAATTTCTATATAAAAAGGCACATCACGTTCATGATATACATCCAAAAATACACTTAGTGACTGAGCATTTGATCTTCCACGCTTCGCCAAGTCGTGTGCATCTCAAACCCAGCGGCGACTTCATGTTCCTGCATCGCCAGTAGTTCGGCGAAAAGCCCGAGCTCAAAGGCCGAGCTAAAAGCAGCAGTTCGGCGAACGGGCTCAGCCTCGCGGCGAAGAAAATACGTTTGGCCCTGCCAAGACGCGACCCTGGACCCGAATCCTCTGGAGGGGTCTGGGGCTCCATTTCCTAGGTTTTGACGGACCAAGGGCTGTTTGGAGCGTCTGGGTGAAGTAAAAACGGGGCAGGTTTCTTCAGGCACGTCCAGCGGCTAGAAACCTGTGTCAGGCTGATGTTGTGAGGGCAGCCGGTCAGCACAAGAATACCACCCAGGTGATTGGTCACCCCAGTGAGGGTTACAAGGTGGTGATGTGTGAGAGATGGAACTCAGGATTGGCCTCCCCTAACAGCGTGCCAGCCACAAAGTGGGCACCCCCAGTGAGCACGTTAGCGCATGGTCTCACTGTCATACATCTTTCCAAGATGCGTTGGCCTCAAGGGTAACGATGCTTGTGCAAGTTTCCCTTGCTTGCTTTGTGCAAGGTGTATGCCAAGCACCCTCGCACGCGCCCCACACCCGGCCAGCGGTGTGCGGACTGGTTCAGCTCTCTGCTGTTGATGAAGTCCGCGGGTAGGGCAAAGGTAAAAACCGAAGAGCAAGTACGATCATACGTGTTTCCGCATTGAACATCAAAAGACTCCACACAAAAAGGAGGCACAAAAACCATCGACTCTGGACCAGCCAGTTCTGGGAATAGAACTGGATCTACACAGCTTGCGCTCGCGTCGCCAGCAGGGATCGAATCAAAGAAAAAGAAGTCGAAAAAGAGAAGGCAGGGCGCTTGTTCTCAGCAGATTCATTCACCTCGGAGGCTCGTATGTGGACTTGCTTCCCTGGACTCGCGAGCTTGGACTTGCGGCACGGTTGGAGGCAACGGTGCTTTCGTGTTTGGTGCAGTCCCGCAGCGTTGGGTGGCAGGGGCGGTCCTGAGGCTTCGCTTGTCGTGTTCGTGCAGGTATGGCACGGTATGTCGTGAGTATAAACATGAAGCTGTGCAAAATGTTCTCGTTTTGCCAGAGTGGAGGCTTTCCAAACCATCGCTATGGACAACATCCCAACGTGAGTCAGCTAAGTCCGCCACCTGAGTTGCGGACACCCACTTCCTGAAACCGATTACCCACAAAGCAATGGGGGCTAGTTATAGCAAGTAACCTGTTCGACAAGGACACTGACCGTTGCCCGACATGGCTCATTACAAAACAACAGTTGAAGTCCGTCGTACTTCTTTGAATGCATGTAAAAGCTATCTATGTCAAGTCTGTCACAGTAAATGATGTGCAATTTCTGATGATCCATGGTTCGCAGCCTGGAGATGATAACTTTTAGAGCATGTCTTTGTGCTGCTTATTTGCTCATCTCAAGCAGCATGTCCTTTCTCAAAACATGTTCAAGTCACCAAAACGAAAGGTCCTTTTGATGATGAGGCCTGTCTTGCCTCTTCTTCGGGGATGTCCAGCCTTGCATATGGTGATGTTGTGAGGGCAGCCGGTCAGCACAAGAATACCAACCCGGTGATTGGTCACCCCAGTGAGGGTTACAAGGTGGTGATGTGTGAGAGATGGAACTCAGGATTGGCCTCCCCTAACAGCGTGCCAGCCACAAAGTGGGCACCCCCAGTGAGCACGTTAGCGCATGGTCTCACTGTCATACATCTTTCCAAGATGCGTTGGCCTCAAGGGTAACGATGCTTGTGCAAGTTTCCCTTGCTTGCTTTGTGCAAAGTGTATGCCAAGCACCCTCGCACGCGCCCCACACCCGGCCAGCGGTGTGCGGACTGGTTCAGCTCTCTGCTGTTGATGAAGTCCGCGGGTAGGGCAAAGGTAAAAACCGAAGATCAAGTACGATCATACGTGTTTCCGCATTGAACATCAAAAGACTCAACACAAAAGGAAGGCACAAAAACCATCGACTCTGGACCAGCCAGTTCTGGGAATAGAACTGGATCTACACAGCTTGCGCTCGCGTCACCAGCAGGGATCGAATCAAAGAAAAAGAAGTCGAAAAAGAGAAGGCAGGGCGCTTGTTCTCAGCAGATTCATTCACCTCGGAGGCTCGTATGTGGACTTGCTTCCCTGGACTCGCAAGCTTGGACTTGCGGCACGGTTGGAGGCAACGGTGCTTTCGTGTTTGGTGCAGTCCCGCAGCGTTGGGTGGCAGGGGCGGTCCTGAGGCCGCTTCGCTTGTCGTGTTCGTGCAGGTATGGCACGGTATGTCGTGAGTATAAACATGAAGCTGTGCAAAATTTTCTCGTTTTGCCGGAGTGGAGGCTTTCCAAACCATCGCTATGGACAACATCCCAACGTGAGTCAGCTAAGTCCGCCACCTGAGTTGCGGACACCCATCCTGAAACCGATTACCCACAAAGCAATGGGAGCTAGTTATAGCAAGTAACCTGTTCGACAAGGACACTGACCGTTGCCCGACATGGCTCATTACAAAACAACAGTTGAAGTCCGTCGTACTTCTTTGAATGCATGTAAAAGCTATCTATGTCAAGTCTGTCACAGTAAATGATGTGCAATTTCTGATGATGCATGGTTCGCAGCCTGGAGATGATAACTTTTAGAGCATGTCTTTGTGCTGCTCATTTGCTCATCTCAAGCAGCATGTCCTTTCTCAAAACATGTTCAAGTCACCAAAACGAAAGGTCCTTTTGATGATGAGGCCTGTCTTGCCTCTTCTTCGGGGATGTCCAGCCTTGCATTGTGAGGGCAGCCGGTCAGCACAAGAATACCAACCCGGTGATTGGTCACCCCAGTGAGGGTTACAAGGTGGTGATGTGTGAGAGATGGAACTCAGGATTGGCCTCCCCTAACAGCGTGCCAGCCACAAAGTGGGCACCCCCAGTGAGCACGTTAGCGCATGGTCTCACTGTCATACATCTTTCCAAGATGCGTTGGCCTCAAGGGTAACGATGCTTGTGCAAGTTTCCCTTGCTTGCTTTGTGCAAGGTGTATGCCAAGCACCCTCGCACGCGCCCCACACCCGGCCAGCGGTGTGCGGACTGGTTCAGCTCTCTGCTGTTGATGAAGTCCGCGGGTAGGGCAAAGGTAAAAACCGAAGATCATTCACGATCATACGGAATCATACGGGTTTCCACTGAGAATAGTTGCTGTCAGCTGTTCATTTGCACCATCCCTCCCAGGAATTTAGGTGCACGAGCATTTGAAGACAGAGTGACAGACAGAAACAAAAAAGGAAAAGATCTGATGAACTGCTGTGCTCTGGAAATTGTGCAGTACACATCAGGGGTAGTTAGCAGAATTATAAGATATGCGATGTTCAACAAAAGCAGGTGCAGTAAGCAGTACCAACATGAGATTTTGCTTGCGGTATGGCTGTCTGGCAACCCATCTGCTAAACTTTTGCTGGGGGACCTTTTCTGCCTACTACTGGTTTTTGACTATAGACTCCACACAAAACGAAGAACTTGGGGCTTTGGGGAGAGCAAGTTCTCCAGAACGGTGGGCTTTTAGCTCGAGAGAGAGAGAGAGAGAGCTGGTCCGCTGAGCCTCATGCAGGTCCCAGCGCAGAGCGAAGGCACATCGCTGGGAACCGAAAGTCTTCGGTTTGGCTGCAGAAAACGGCACTACCGGGTTGAAGGGGTCTCCACATGGAACTATGACCCAAATGGCACCTCATGTACCTCTCAAAAGATCTCAAAAGCTGATGGACACAGCGATCGATCCAACGGGTCGTGAAAGTACTTGTCCTCCAATCCTCAGGTTCCCCAAGAAGCAAACATGAACATGACATAGCCCTACGTCCAGTCTGACCCAGTAAAGCTGGTCTTGTTGCCTCCTTATATAAGTACAGTATTGGTTTTTGGTATGACCATCTCCAGTATTTCATGAGGTCTGGAAGTGGAGCTCACCAGCTGTTGAGGGATCCGGAGTTCATGGTCATCCGAAAAAAGATGGGGCCATGTTCCACTTCCCGGAACATTTCCACAAAAAAGGAATGCAAACAAGGCCTCCGAAGAAATCGGATCAAACAACGACGCAACTACCAAAATCCCTGGACGACGTCTCCTGGTTCATCCACATTCCGCCGGCTTCGACCACGGAAGAGAAGCCTGAGGCACAGAAAACAGGGCCGCATCTCATGGTCTACGCGGAAAGGAAGAGTGATCTCGTATGCGGGATCTGTTTGAAAGCTGTGAGTCCAGAGCTTCTGGCCTCTTTAGTAAGTCTCAGTAGTCTATTCTATTCTGTTCATGTTCACGGGTCAACCGCAACATCCAGAGGACTTCCTCCAAGACTTCTTCCCATACATCCGGCAAAGTGTCTAGACTGATGACAGGTTGAGTCCCACTTGCTGATGGCTAGGATGGCCCAATGGCGGGCCAGTACTGGTCAAACCAGCTGACCATGTCAGTGCTTGGACGAAGACCGGTCTATGTTCTTTCCTCAGGGCTCTCAGAGTAAGTTCTAGCGAAAAAGGAGCCTGCAACAAATGGTTTGGTGTCCAAAACCCCCTTTGAGGCGGCGTTCAATCGACGTCCCTCGGTCGACTCGCCCGGTCGAACCTGCGTTGATCGACGCGCGCGTCCCAACATTCAGGATGAAACCTGGCGGTTCGGGGCTCATCGGGGCTCATCGCAGTGGGTCGGCATGGTGGAACATGCCTAGAACAGCAAGGCATGAGGAAGAACAGCAATGAGATCATCCCAAGTGCTGCGTGGCAACCACTGGACCATGTCATGTGTTGCAGCCAAGGACCTCCTATGAGATTCTTCTGAGAGTTCGATCAAGTCCGTGTCATTCGGCTAAAGGTGCTTCCATGCACCACCATGCCCTCCACAAAGCCTTCCCAGGCCCTCCCCCAAGTACCAGAACCCTTCGCACGATCCACAGGAATCCCTTCCCCCCCGCACCCGCGCCACATCTCCTCCGCAGCCTCTGCGTGGGCCCGGCCACTCCACGACGCTCCGCCACCAAGTCCAGGCCCAAGAGGCTGAACGGACGCTTGCCTCGGTGGCACAGGTCCAGCATGGCGCGCGCGCCCAACCGCCCCGGTGTCCAGCAGCCGGGAGAGACCGCCCG